GAGTTGGTGACATAATTTAAATTTTAATCATATAATTTACTTATTTTTATTTATAAATCCTTGTTTGGTAGAGATTAAAATAAAAAATTTAGCAGATTTTGATAAATGTTAATGAAATATGTGGTTGAAAAATTCTGAGTTTTATGAAATATGTGGTAAAAATTAACTGTTGACTTTGATAAAAATCTAAATTATAATTTCTATCAAATTAAGAGGAGCTAAGTGATATAATTTTAGATTAATTATATATAGTATTTAATTTTAAAAAATGTTATTTATAAGTACAATTAAATATCAATATATACTTCAAAATATTATAAAAAGGAATGTTATGGTATTACTCGAAATATTTAGTTGATTAATATAACATTTTTTAAGATCATATAATCATCATTTAACAATACATTTTGAAGGTGTTTTAATGAACTAACGTATACTATTTTTAGCTAAATTTTAATATATATACTTGAATGATTTATTATCAAATAATTAAAACAAAAAATGGGGAAGTGACATGATTTTTTAAAACGTGAGAGCATGTGTCTAATATTTTCTTTAAGAGGTATTTATGATATTGTCTCTATATTCCAAAAGTAATTTAAGGACTCGCTCAAGGATTTTAGAAGTTCAACTTCAATCGAATAATTTTTCTAGCTAAATTCGAATATCACTAGGCTTTTCCGGAGACAAGTTGACTAACGTAAGAGTTTGGCAAACTAAAGAAATTAATAATAAGGAAACACTGACAGTATTATTAACACGTGAGTTTATTCACACATACATTAATTACATTTCCAACCTGTTATACCAAGATAAATTGTCAAGTGAATATAACAAGAAACGAAATTCGTTTGACAGAAAAATAAAAATGAAATGGTTTACATTACAAAATGGGTAAAAAAAATTACCATTAGTCTACTTATAACAGAGTTTCACGTTAATCACTAAACTTTATTTTGTCAAAAAAGTACCTCTCAAGTCTTAATTTATTTCAATTTGATTAGTCAGTTAAAATCCGTTAGTTTTTCTACTGCAATGTTTGGCGTGGAAGACCAATATATATCATTATCGTCTTCCTAACCCAACATTCCGTTGAAAAACTAACAAGTTTTAACTCAACGATGAAAGGCACCCTAAGCCATAAGAATGATTTTTGTTAACAGCATGTCCGGGAGAATCTGATATGTGAGAACGCCTTACTTTGAATGCTGATACGAAGGGGAATCACTCTTCAGTGGAGAAGGGAGAGCCTCCGATATACTGTCCCATGAAATTTTTTCATCTTTCTTTCCCTTTCGCTCCAAGAAGATGGGTCGACTAGGCGTTTGTACAATTTCGACCTTGCATGTCAGCATTGCTACAATCTCAGACATTGCTGGCCTTGAAGATGCTTGAGGGTGAAGACAAAAGAACGCCACGTGAATCGCGTGCATAACCTCCTTTTCGACAATCCCATCTTCTCGAATTCTTGGATCGATTAAATCGTTCAACCGAGAATGCTTGTACAGCTTCCAGGCCTTACGACACATTTATAAGAACATAAGTCAATAATCGATTTTCTCAGCATGAAAGGAAAGCAAATTAAAAGGCAGGAAATCCTACATATTCTGGAAGGTATTGCATTTCTGATGGCAAAGTAAGATTGGTATTTTTCCTGCAGCTAATAATTTCAAGCACGAGAACTCCAAAACTGTATATGTCAGCTTTTTCAGACAATTCTCCTCGAATGGCATACTCAGGCGCAGTGTAACCTCTGCATAAAAGTATATGTGAAATCATACAAACAAAAATATCTAAGATGAAAATGTCGATGGATTCTTGTAATGGAATCAAGCTTGTAAGGGAGTATTTACCGGTAATTAATGAATGATGGTTCACAAAATAATTGCATTAGTAATATTTTTTGGATTCTTTAAATCCATAAATAAAATGCAACTTGTATAACATTTTGCTAATGATTCAAGAATTCTACTTCTGTTGAAGTGCCTACTTAATTGGCATCCTCCGTGTATAGTGAACATTGTTTTGTTTGCACAATGAAAATACTTACAAAGTTCCAGCAAAATTAGTGCTCAAATAAGCTTGATCTTCAGGAAAAAACCTTGCTAGGCCAAAATCTCCAATCCTAGGTTGAAATTTGTCGTCTAAGAGGATGTTGCTTGCCTTGATATCCCTATGTATAATTCTCATGTGTGAATCTTCGTGCAGGTACTGCAAGCCTCGAGCAATTCCAAGAATTATTTGGAAGCGAGCGCTCCAGTTCAAAAACAGATCACTTTTCCCTGTATCAAGAAATAACCAAAGCAGAAAGCCATTGAGGCAAAATCAACTTTCATTTAATTTCTTGCAAACCCGATATCAAGAAAATTATGAACTCCAGAAAATTTCAAAATTAAGCTCAACTCGGAAATGTATCACATAATTTGGGTCTATGAACAGAGAAACATAGTTATACCATATACTATAAGGTCTAAACTCCTATTCTTCAAGTATTCATACACAAGTAGCCGCTGATCTCCATCAGAGCAACACCCCAGAAGGCGGACTAGGTTCTTGTGTTGTATACTGGTGATGATCCTCACCTCTGCTAGGAATTCTGATTCTCTTTGCTGGGATTTGTCAACAGATAGTTTCTTTACAGCGACCAATCTCTCGTCTTCTAATTTTCCCTATGAAAAGAAGGAAGAAAAAGTCGATGCAATATTAACGCAGTTTTTTAACATCATACACAATAAGGCCAAGGCTCCATAGAGATCTTGCCCTCAATTCTAAGAAACTTTTGAAATGATGATTACATAATGAAGATGCAAAACAGAATTATATTTTCATTACCAAGAAGACTGGCCCAAATCCTCCTCGTCCAAGTAGATTATCCTGGTGAAAATTCTTGGTTGCCTTCTTCAGTGTTTGAAAGTCGAACCAGCTTATTGTGTGAAGATTTCTGCTTAAGATATCCTTAGCTACTGCAAGAACTTAAAAGATTAGACCATAATGAATCAACTCTGCATTATAATTCGAAAATTCTCTTGCAAAATCATATGTACAACCTGGTTGCTTCCTTGTGCAAGCGAAAAAGGTCTTCCACTTCGATGGATTGATGAATTTTCGGAAGACAAATAACAGAATTAGCAAAATGAGAAGTATAACTATGGCTCCAAGGAAAAAGTATAAGCCTCCTGAAGGTTGGCTAGATTTCGAGCTCTGTACATCGAGTGAGGCTGATGGAGAGGCCACTGCATTAAGTTGACACGTTAAACTACATTTACATCAAGTTGAAATAAAGCTGGTGCTAAATACACGGGAAGAAATAATCTAAAACTTTTCAGCCCAGAAGAGCCCTCCAGCCCCCAAAATGCGCACACACATACAAAAAACCTCGAATCATTGTTCTTTCATATGGCATTACTCGCATGGTGATTTATTCTGATAAGCATCTGTTTGGGAGGGATTTACTCAAGATTTGAAGCCATTTTTTGACCATTAGCAAATTAGAAGTGGATCCTATTGCTGCCAGATATTTACTGCTATCATTTGAAATTATCGCCCAAAAATGATAAAAGTCTAATTACCCTTTTCATTAATTTGAATTACTTATACACATTTCTTACAACCACCATATTTGACTATTCTTAAAGGGTATATTTGAAAATGGCGATAATTTATTGGAAAGGCAGGCAAAAGCAATTGCTACAATGGGACCCGTTTCTGAGTTGCCAACAGTTATAAAATGGCTTAAAAGCTTAAAAATATCTCTCCCAGAAACAATCTAAGATTATTATACGGTGACCAAAATGCAACGTGATCGGCCTCAAGCTTGTAAGCTAGATTTCTCCTAAAATCTTCTTACAACATGTTACACTGTCTACAAGGAGATGACTTTGTTTCTTTTCATCCAGCAAGAGATGAATTGTCTAAAATTGGGGGACATTTTGAATCTTATTTAAATTTTATGGTTTTGCTAGTGGTACATTGAAGTGTACCTAATGGTGTACACCCTATTCACATGGGTGAGCGATCCACTCGAATAAAATATCATTTCTTTCACATAGGTCCCACACTCATGTAAGTAGAGTGTACACCATTCGGTACACCCCATTATGTACCACTAGACAAATTCTAAAATTTAACACATTAATTGAGTTTAGAAACAATAGTTGTGCCTCAATTACCCGCAAATGAATGGAGCCTTTTTGATCATTTTCTCATTAAAACAAGAAAAGCATAACATGAAGGCTGTTTGAGATCAAGGGCCCTAATAAAGTCAAACATTAAAGGACCTATTTGGTACATTCGACAAGATTTTCTTTCTTAAAAACTGTGAAATACTCTGGCTGTTCAGCCAATCCAACATTCCAAACATGTCAAAAAGGTACACCTATTATTGAATCTTAAATTTGCAACTTCCCAAAAAATGATTAATTCACACAAAAGACTCTGCATATGGAAGTGTATAAAATTGAAAGGAAAATCTGTGCAAAAAAATAAAAATAAAAAAAATAAAACAGTAAATTTACATACCATTTAGCGCTAAACGATTCATCTCTCTCCAAGCCTTGTTACAGAAGCTCAGATTCTCCTTTTCTTGCTTTGTTTTTCTATGCAGATGCAGAAATTTTCTTTTTTTTTTCTTACTTACTCTTTGTTTCTGTAACATTGCAAACATTGAAGTTAGCGAAGAAATAATGATAATATCAAACTTGGAGATGATCGAAATTCTGGGATTTTCTGAGAATCCTAAGTGCATTTTTTTTTAATGAGAATTGTTTGTCGAGGCGGAAAAATCTCCGCATGTATTCTATTCCAGTGGGACGGCTGATTTAACAAAATAGCTTAAATTTGAACACAATCAAATAAGATTGATCAAGTTACAATATATATTTAACACATTTCTGTTCAATCAAATTTAAAATTTGGTAAACTTCAAAAATGAGTTTGAATTTAATTGTTTCATTTTCAAACGTGAAGGATTCCATCTCCTCAACAGGAGTGAATGGTATGTTGAACTGAATAAAATAAGTTGAAACTAAGCTTAAAACTTCCTTAAAAAAAAGCACCTTTAGTCACCTTTTTAAGCTTAGCTAGATGTTTTACTAGTCTAGAAAGAAAAAGGAAATGTTCAAAACTCAGTAGAGCAGCCAACCGCTGCCTGGGTGTTTCCAGCTAGTCATCCATGAAATGAAAAACTGTAATCAATAAAATATTTCTAAACTGTTTATGCACAAAATGACGTCGAATAAGATAGTGATTATCTTATTAGCTTGTTGTAGCAGATGATTCGCAAGAAAGAAACGAAAGAAAATGCCCAAAAAAATCAGAGAAAATACTCTGAAATCAACTCAATATTATTAATAATACAGAATGACCAAAATTAACCCACAAGTCGGGTTAAATAGCTGCAAAATACGAAATTATAGGAAAATTATCAAAAATGGCAAAATCCCGAAATCACACAAGAATAAAATATTAATTAAAAGAAGTAGGTTGTGAAGAATTTGGCTCAATTCGAGTTTTCTAACATATGGAAAAAGGGAAACGAAATATTACCATAAATAGCAAAAAATAATTAAAAATTGAATTTCGGAAAGGAACACAGCAGATTTTAGGCTCGAAATTGATGCCCACCAAGCATAGCTGGTGGCCACGATGTGCGCGTCGAAAAGAGCTTTCCGAATTGGGGTCATAATAGCAATTCTGATAACCGTAATCAAAGTTATGGCTAAATTACCAAAGACGTATCAAATTTTCCCAATCAAAAAAATAATTGCGATTCACTTTCCATCTTTGCACCGATCCACCATCTCATCGCATCTCAGCGCCATCATCGTACTATCCGACAAATCAGCATCTCTTGACTCAAATCCTGCTGCATCACAAAACTAAGACGTAAACAATTAAAAACAAACAAATATTTAGATTACAATTAATTTTAACTTTCACTTATCAAAATACCTAGTCGTTGCAAGAAGAAAAAATTTAACGTACAAAAGCTGTCTTTCCCAATTAGAGTACGTTCATGTCATCATTTTAAATGTTGAGATTGATTCAGTCATCGTCACACCGCTCATGATGTGAATTTTGGAGGTGGGTCATCTAAAAAAAATATTTTACCGCTCAAATATTCAAATAAACCGTACCAATTTCCAAAATTCTTCGTACGCATGAAAAATATTATCGTACATATATATTACCTGTTTCCAAATTGTTTGTATATCCTCATTCAAAGAATTTTTTACAGTTGTAAAAATAGCAACAAATTTTCAGTTATAATGCAAATGCTCTCATTTCTTTATTATTGAAACAAAAATTATGAACTTGATAAAAATAATTAGCACAAGAACTTGCAATGATGTCACCAATGAGCCACGGAAATAACGAAGGCAAGAAAAAAATATTTACAACATTGACAGGAATGAAAATACTAAAAACAATACAAAATTTATCAAAAAAATTTGTTGACAATGCACACAAGTCAATTACTCAATAGAGATGAGATTAAGAAATGCGTGAACAAAATTATCGACAACATGGTTAAAAAAGAAATGACATTAAAGCTAACTATCATTTTCCTAACCATTTCAATTTTTTATAAATACCTATTTTAGAACATGCAAATTATTCATAAATATGTTTAGGCATCTATTAATTTGACAACCCTAAGGGCTAAGAGTATGTTAGATGGAAATTAAAAAGAAATGAAAATAAATAAATATCTTACTGAGTTGATGTTTGTAAAGAATAAAAAGAAAATTTCATATATAAGATATTAAGTATGATCTATATCAGACTATATCTAAACTAAGAAAATCAGATATTAATTAAATTTTATTTATGAAGTAATTAATTAAAAATATATTTTATTAATTCAATACATTAATGTCACAATTTTATACAATTTGATCACAAATTGTTGACTTAATTGATCACAAATTATTTCTTGACGACAAATCAAAAATTTTATAAGCCACAAATTATTTTTTGATCACAAATAAATAATTTTATAGGTCACAATTTATTCCTCAATTACAAATCACAAATTGTATGAGTCAAAATTTTTTAAGGGTCACAAAGTTACAATTATTTAAAGGTCACAAATTATCAATTTAATTGGTCACAATTTATTTCTTGACCACAATTTAATGAATTGGGAGTTACAATTATATTTTTTAAGTTACACATTAACTAATTTATTGATCATAATCAATCAAATAATTGGTCACGAACACCCCACCCCACCACACCCTAGCACGAGGTCCACGTCCATGCCCACCACTATCTCCCTAGACCGCACAAAACTGTCACACACCACAAGAATCGCAAAACTACCAACACAGTGCCTATAACACCTCCACACACCACAATCGCAAAGTCATCACCTCACCACCACCACTAGAACCTTTGTTGTCGCTATCACCACCACCATTTGCAAACTTTAATGCAACAATAAAATTCAAACTTACCATCTTTGCCTTTTCTCAGATCTAAACAATTATCGACCCCAAACCATCCTAAAATCACCCAAAACTTGTTCAGATTGTTAGGACATCAAAAGAAGCAAGTCTATGAAAAGAAAGTGGTTGCAGTGGTGGTATCAGATTCTGAAGACTCGTACAATAGCACCAGCAGCCGCCACAGTTGCGATCGGCCGAAGGGTTTCCCCATCACCAATGTCCCTAACTTCACCTCGTCAACACTATCTCCAACTACTATGAATTACCAAACTACAAAGCGAAGAAAGGAAATTCCCCATAGAGCCCCTACCAAACTACGACAACAAGAGGGACGATGCCGTCTCGTGGCATGCACATCAAGCAAGGCCTTGCAGTGATGCTCAAAGGTGGTCTCTGATAACGGGCGCTCCCCAACAACGACGATGGTTGTGGAGAGGGACGAGAGATGAAGAGAGGAGAGAAAGAGAATATAATTTAGGGTTTGAATGGGGTGGATGGAGGGGGTACTTTTAAAATTGACTCAGTCAAATCACCTAAATTCCACATTGACTTCTCAACAAAAGGATATTATGAAAATGGCATATCCAATGTTAAAAGACAAAAATATCCTTAAATACATTATACAATTACAAAAATTGATTTTTTTAAAAGACATTCATACTCTTTTACTTAACAAATAAAAATCCAACACAGATAAATAAAAACACTCTCATCATTCATCTGTTTCAACCGCAGAACCTAAAAAATTTATCAAAATTGAAAGTCGAAAAATTTGTGGACATCAATCTCATCGGTTCGACAAGTTTATATACGCAAATTTAATCTTATTTTCGTTAAATTATTGTATGTTTAAATCGATAAATTGTATTTCGACATTTAATGGTAATGTAGATAAAAAAAAATTAATAAATCTATAATTTTTTAAGTATTTGACTAGAAAAAAATTCATCTGCATATAGGTCGAAATAGCCCAGCACGTGCCGGTGATTCAACTATTTGACCGGTTGTTAAACAGCAACAGTCGGTCAAACAGCCGACTGTTTGGCCGACTGTTTGACCGGCTGTTTAACAGTATGTTTAAACAGCCTTTGTCAAATGTTTTCTTTTTTCTCCCTTTTTGGATTATTTTTATTGCTGTTGATATTTTTCTTGTAATTAAGAATTTTGTTTCGACATACAGATATAGTTGTAGTCTCAGTTTGTTACTTTGGTGACTTTGAATTGGACGAAAGAGATCAATGGATATGAAAATGGATAAGTACTAAACGTGGTGGTATCGCAATTTTCATATTATCAGGTACATCGTATGCAGAACTCTATAATGATTTATAGAACAAGTTGAATGTTGATCCTTCTTAGTACAACATGGAATTTAAATTTAAATTCAGCGAGCATGTATCGATTTCGATTCCACCTAAAATGATTTCTTCTGTTGATGAAGTGAATTAGCTGATTGAATTGAACAATAAGCACACGACTCCTCTTTGCGTAACTTTAGTAAGGAAGGATGTCGTCGAAGATGAACAAGTAGACTCGAGAGGTGGGGATCACAATGCTAATGATTTTTAGGATATGATAGAGATAGCTCATAAAGTTGATGTGGTTATCCCAGATATAGTTGTACACAGAATCCCCTCCGCAGCTCGTGACAACGAGAATGAAAATGCAAATACTTTTACAAACGAGGACTTGATTGTTTTATCCCGATAGAGACATGAGTGGGGTGGGACCTTGAGGGCTAGATCGAGTGGGCCGTCCACTAACTCCTCACGTGTGGTTCCCGATAATGAAGATTTGTATGTCGAGCAACTGTTTGAAACGAAAAAAGATTTGCAAGAAGTCGTGCACCTAATTGCACTGAAATACAACTTCGAGTTTAGAGTAAAAAAATTAAATAGGTCGTTGTTGACGCTATCATGCGTAGATGATAGTTGCAGTTGGCGTTTGCGAGCGACGAAGATGGACACGAATGAGTGCTTCGTAATTCGCAAATATACACGAAAACATACTTGCAAAGTGGGAGTTTGTCACAATGATCACAGGTAAGCCCGAGCTTAGTTTATTGGTCGACAGATAATGTACAAGTATCAGAATCCACGAATAATCTACAGACCATCGGACATCATTAACGATGTTCGTCGAGAGTACGGAGTAGTCATGAGCTACCAGAAGGCCTGGAAGGTCAAAGAATGCACGTTGGAAGATTTAATGGGCTCGACAGAGGAAAGCTATGCTAAATTGGCCAGGTATTGTCAGAACATGGAGAAAACTAATCCTGGCTCGACATTTTTTATTGAGACGGAGGCCGAGAACTATTTCAAATTCTTCTTTATGGCTCTTGGACAATGCATTCGGGGATTTCGAAATGCTATGCGACCTCTAATTCTAGTTGACGGTATAACTCTGAAATACAAATGCTAAGACAAGTTGATTATTGCTACATGTCAAGATGCCAACATCCAAATTTACCCTCTTGCATTCGGCATAGTTGATAACGAGAATGATCTGTCGATGCGTTGGTTCTTCACAAAGCTCAGGGAAGTAATCGGAGAAGTTGAAGACCTTGCATTTATAATCGATCGGGGACAGTCTATAATAAATGGTATTGCTGAAGTTTTTTTCGATGCACATCATGAGTATTGCATGTATCATATACAAGGCAACTTGAAGACCAGGTATCGGGGCAAAGGCATCGTTCCATTATTTAGGAAAGCGACCGAAGCTTACAGTATTGAAGAGTGTAATAGGTACATGGTTGAAATATGGAGCAAATCATTCCCAGTATGGGACTATCTAACGAAAATGGGGATTGAACATTGGGCGCGCTTATATTTTCCAAGACATCGATACAACATGATGATGTCAAACAACGCGGGAGTCTCTCAATGCATTATTTAAGAGGGATCGAGATTTACCCATTCTTGCACTGATTGAGAATATCCATACAAAGTCGTAGCAGTGGTTTCGCGATCGACGTACGAAATCACATAATTGCACAAGCGTTCTAGCCCCAGTGAAAGAGGTAAAGCTCTTCAAGGCTAAGAGGCTGCGAGAAAGTTAAATGTCGAACCACTCGACGAGTTGCGATTCTCTGTGGAATGTGCATGTCATACGGCATACATGGTAGAATTGACTGATGGAACATGCACTTGTATACAATTTCAGTTAGAGAGTTTTTCATGTGAGCATGCGTTGCGGTGGCTATGTATCAAGAATTTGCAGTGAGAACATTGTGCTTTCCTTATTACACTGCTAAAAACTGGAGAGCTTCGTATACTGAAACCATATTTCCGCTTCCAAATGAAGCCAAGTGGGAAGTTTCCGATCATATTCGCCCGTTCAATACATTGTCGCTACCTCCCATTGAACCATGTGGTCCTGGACATCCAAGTACTTCTAGAATATCATCTACTGGAGAGTTTCTCCGACCGTATAGGTGTAGCAGGTGCAAATCAGTAGGACATACTCGTCAATTTTGTACAAATTAGGTTCCCCTAAATGACAGTTAGAGCATGTGTATTTACATTGAAATGGATAGTATTTACATTGAAATAAACAATATTTACATGAATAATTACAAACAATTGCGAAAATAGTTACAAATATTAATTACAAAAAATATTTACAAATAATTTATGGATCACAATTAAATTCGTATAAATCACACGCTAACTTATTTCGCCAATTCTGTATCCATGACTGGTTGATTCCATCAACCTTATGTGCTATATTAAAAAATTATATGTATTTGATTGCGAAAGTCCCACAATCGCCCTTACAAATGAATAAATATGTGTTAGTTCGATTCCAATTACGTACGAACTGATTACTAAATTAAAAAAAAAAAAGATTACAAAGACTTACGATATAGACTATCTCACTGTCGTCGTGTCCCGTACGATGGCTAGTTTGTCTTCCACAGTCAAACTCGCATGTCTAGCTATCAGAGGAACAATCACAGTCACCGGCTCTAAATTCTACTCAAGCTGTCCCCGTGTCAGACATGAATGATCGGAGTCGTACACATATATCGTCGAATTAGGGAACACGATCTCCAGTGCAATGCAGTGCTGATTCACGATCATTGGAATGTACAAATGCGTACAACCCTTCCATGGCTTTCCCCCAACACTCGGTGATAGCCCGATGACCCACTCGAGCATATACGTGGGAAGCACGTACTCGTTACCTAGAAGTTGAAGCGACTGATACTCAATGGTAACAGCACGTAAGAACTAGGTGTTCAGTATTATGCGGCCAGTCTTTGGGAATGATTGTGGATATCTCTCAACTCGATCGCGTAACAAGTCTATGATAATGTCGATGTGTTACATCAAGGAAAGCAAAGATATAAATACTTATTTCATTTACCAAATTAAACATAATGTATACAAAAAGTAACAATAACACTTCACTTACATCGTCGGCGAGCTAAGCCCCTGAGTGGTGATATCATGGAACCACTTGTATGCGTCCAATATCGTCCTTCCGACTATCATGTGCGTGGCTCTGGAAATAAAATAGAAAAAACGTTAAACGAAGCATGTACGAGTTCTGGTAGTCTACTAAATCATACAATACTTACCCGGGAAACATTTTTCACCACTCAGCCTCGAATGCTTTTCACTTGGCATGGGTTGACCTCCCAGAACAGATTAGGGTATGTCCCGTCGACGAATCTCCTCCTCTTCGCCTCAGCCGTAAAGGGAGAGACAACGTACTGTGACGGCACTTTCGGTCTCTTGCCGACCTCCGTCTTCGGCATGTCAGCAACACATTTTTTTTCCTTATACACTGCCACCTCCTCCACCCCAGGGCTCGCCACCTCCTCCATCCCCTCATCTGCCATCGTCTCTGTCCCCTACGGGGTCACTCCCTCCTCGACGGGCCCCCCCTCCTCTGTCATGCTCCCGTCCCATTACGCTACACGGATAAAATAAATGATTCCCATGCATCATCATTATGCATGTATGACTGCCAGAGACCCCCATCTCTATCACCCTCTCGATCAC